CAAGGGCCATCCAACCCAACCCCATTCTGCCATGCAGGAACTCACCATCAAAGCCCTCCCTGTGACAGATGGCCCTCCAGCCTCTGTTTAAAAGCCTCCAAAGAAGGAGACTCCACCACTCTGCAAGGCAGCATATACTACTGTTGGACATCTTTTTCCATCAAGAGGTTCTTCCTGATGTTTAGTCGGAATCTCTTTTCCTGTAGCTTGCATCCATTGTTCTGGGTTCTATTCTCTGGAGCAGCAGAAAATAAGTTTGCTCCATTCTCAACATGGCCTCCCTTCAAATATTTAAAGAGGGCTATCACATCTCCTCTTAGCCGTCTCTTCTCCAGGCTAAACATAGCCAGCTCCCTAAGTCATTGGTTCATGTCACAGCATTCCCAAACTTTGGTCCTCCAAGTGTTTTGGACTTCAACTCCCAGAAGCCCCAGCTAGCTTGGTGAACAGTGGGGAATTCTGGGAGCTGAAGTCCAAAACATTTGGAGGACCAAAGTTTGGGCATCACTGTCTGTTGTTGTTGTTGTTGTGTTCCTTCAAGTCATTTCTGGGTGGGATGCTCAGAGATGCTTCATAATAATAATAATAATAATAATAATAATAATAAATTTTATTTATAGCCCGCCCTTCTGCGGAGCAATTGGGGCGGGTTACAACACATTAAAACAGACAGGTTAAAATATTCGCTCATCCCATAACCCCACCCTCCCATCCCCTTAAAACAGAATTAAACTAGAAAGAAAGTTAAAATACAACAATAAAATACAACAAGAAACAATGAGACAAGGAATTGGAGTAATAAAGCCAGATAAAAACTGCAGCACTGGGTTTCCTGCCAGGGCAGCGGGTTGAACTAGATGACCCTTGGGGGTCCCTTCCAAGTCTTTTAGGGTTCCAAGGTTTCCCACCATTGATCCTGAGCAGGTCCTTCCCAAATTGATCAAGGAGGATCCCCACTTCTCCCCAAATGGGGGCTGGGGGTGTGTGGGAGGAGGGTGGCTTCCCTTTCCCTGGCACAACAACCCTGCCAGGTAGGCCTGCAGGGTGAAAACTCCTTGGGGCAGGCAGTGACCTTCCTTGCTTGAGAGGCATCCTCAGGACCCCTGAGGTCTCCCTACCTTTTCTCCAGGTAGACAGATAGATAGATATTTGGAGAAAAGGTGGGCGAGGGGGGGAAAAGAAAAGGAAAAAAATATGCAAGTATGGAAGGAAGGAAGGAAGGAAGGAAGGAAGGAAGGAAGGAAGGGAGCAGGGAGTGAATTTTTAAATTTGATTTCCTTGCTTGATAGGCACCTCATTGGTGTACCATTGGGCGGGGTATAAATAAATTTTATTATTATTATT